CTTATTATTTTACAGAACCTCCAAATAATAATATTGATTGAAATTACACTATAAATATTTTCCTAACATTAATACAATTGTACATGAAACATGCATCAATATTTATGCAAATAATAATATTGAAATTGCAATAATTTAGATTAAAATTACAGTATAAATACTTTCCTATCCGTAATACAATTCTATCTGCTTATTATTTTATAGAATCTCCAAATAATAATATTAATGGAAATTACACTATAAATACTTTCTAACCTCAATACAATTATACATGAAACATGCATCCTTATTTCTACAAATAATAATATTGAAATTGCACTATAAATACTCTCTTAATCGTGAACAATTCTTACATCGATTATTTTTTGTTCTTCTTTGGTATTTCTGCTATTTCTCTTTATTGTTGACTAATGGAGTCTGTTTTTGTCTAGGGATTATCAATGTTCCACAGGACAATGTTGAACAAGTTAGTTCTCATTAAACATGTTTCTCCATCTTGCAATAATACTTTCCCACCTTGCTTTTCTTAATATAGTTAATTTCATCTAGGGCATAGCACCACTGAAAGCTATATCTTCGTCAATTCCAAAAGTCATTTTGGTTGATTAAAGCAGTTCCATCAACAGTCTTTAAAGAGACTAAACATGGACTGCTCATTGTCTTCAAAGCGTTTGAAGAATCCTAAGATCCAACCCAATACATGAGAACCTTGCCCGATTGGTTTTTGATTGACGACAAACAATGTATATTTGTGTTCCAGACAATTAAATTTCCCATTTACGCATCATCAGACTGTGATTTTGTTTTTCTTTGTTTAAGTAGACTAAATGCTTAACAGATGTTTTATTCTGTTATGCTTTAAATTGTTTTAAATTTTGGCATTGTTGTTAGCTTATATACGCTAGGAAAAAGTTTATTTCGTCACTCTTCTTTGTTTTCACTGCTTATTTCTGTATTATAAATCAACAGGTTAAGTGACAATATTGTTGACAAGCTAGAAAAACATTACACATGCATGTCTAGTAAAACAATATAGATGCAAAAACGTCAATCTTCATACATGAGATTAAATATTTAATAAAAATAAATGAATATATAAATATAAGCAAACTAATAAACACTCCAGTTTTAAAATTACAATACATATACTTTCTATCTGTGATACAATTCTACTTATTATTTTACAGAATCTCCAAATAATAATATTAATTGAAATTAAACTATAAATACTTTCCTAACCTTAATTAATACATTTGTAAATGAAGAATGCATCCTTATTTCTGCAAGTAATAATATTGAAATTGCAGTACATATACTTTTCTATCCATAATACAGTACAATTCAACTTATTAATTCACAGAATCTCCAAATAATAATATTGATTGAAATTACACTATAAATACTATCCTGACCTTAATACAATTGTACATGAAACATGCATCTTTATTTCTGTAAATAATAATATTGAAATTGCAGTAAATATACTTTCCTATCCGTAATACAATTCTACTTATTATTTTACAGAATCTCCATATAATAATATTGATTGAAATTACACTATAAATACTTTTCTAACCTTAATACAAGTGTACATGAAACATGCATCTTTAACTATCTATACTGTCATAGGGGTGAAGTTTGGGCTTTAGCCATTGTACAATGTCAAGCAAATAAAAAAGTATTAATGAAATACAAAACATGCATAACATATGTATTAAAATGATGGACCTGAACAACAGTCTTACCAATCTAGCCTTAACATTAGGATCTTCAGGAGATTTTCATCTATTATTGTAACACCCGGAAATTCGTTTCATCAAACCCGAATTAATTCCTTAATTAATTCCTTGTGGGTTTACAATTGTTATCCTAATTTCCCTTTGAAATTAGTTGAAAGACCTAGTTGACCAAATACCTTATCCTTTTAATTTGGTCAATGAGTTATACCTTGGGCTTTAGCCATTGTACCCTAGACTTTGTCTTTCTCCTAACTAGTTTTGGGAGGAAGGGGCCCTTTTGGTCATTTCACACAATGCTAGCCCTAAAACCCTACCCTAACCAAGGAATCCAAATCATTTTTCAGGATTCCCCTTCTCTCTACATCTTTCTTGCTCCCTACTCCTCCTTCTCTCTAGGAAATCCTAGAGTTGATCTTCACAAGTTCTTCAAGAAATCCCAAGCCAAGATTCCAACTTTCCCAACACTACAAGGCTAGGAATGGTAAGATCTATCCTTCCCTACCTTTTCCTTACAAGATTCCTCCATCTGTTCTCTAAATCTTCCCTTTACCTTGTTAGGGTTTGGGAGTTTGTAGAAGATCTAGTGGTGGGTGAAGTGCTAGGTTGATCTAGAGGAGCTTTGGTCTTGCTTTGAGGTTGAAGAAGTTTTCTTGGTCTTCAAGAGGTAACCCATGCTACACAAAACCTATTTTCACTTGATAATAATGATTATTGGCTTCTATGTGATATTCTTGATGTGTTGGAGTGGTTGATGCATGATCTTATGATAATGCATGTTTAGAGCTTGTATTTAGGGTTCTTGAATGCTATTGTATGAGCTATTCGTGGGTTCAAGTCATATCTTTGTTGTATGGACGGTTTGGGGTTATTTGGACTTGAACTTGACCTTGAAAGTGCAAATTTCGCGAATGCTGATTTTTGGGCCCTGATGTACCCCGCGGGTACTACCACGGGTAGAGCCCCACCCGTGGCCCCACCCGCGGGGTACCTGTTTGAGAAACGGTGGCGGATTGTCCCGCCACCGCTTCGCCCACTCGTGTGTGATTCCTTGGCCCCCGTTTGATTGGATTGTTGAGCTTTTGTGTGTCTCCTTGATGTTACGTATTTCTAGAGCAATGTCTTAAGTATCCATGTTTGGACTTGGTGTCTTGAATCGTAATGATCCAACCTTTTGATTCGTTGGATTGATATTGAGTCTTTGTGGTTCATTGGAACTATTTTGTTACCCGTTTGATGCACATGCTAGTCTTGGTGTCTATGATGCTAGAATGTGTTGTTTGTCCCTTTCTATTGAGGATTGGCAACTCCTGTTGCCAATCATGTTGATATTGGATTGAGTTACATTGTTGTTGTTGAGTATCGTTTCATGTCCTTCTTTGAAACCCCTTGATTGAATCCCTTGATGTGATTCCATGTGTATGATTATTCCTTGATTAAGTTATTGTTGAGCTTATCCGTTGTTGTACACACTTTGTGTGGAATCTAGGTGTTGTTGTATCTCTAGATTCCGTGGGTATTGACTCTTGTTAGGATGATGGATTGATGTGATGAGATGATTGAGCTGGTAAAGTGAACAGTGTGGGGACTTAGGTGTGAATGCATCCGGTAGTGGGTTTAAAGCTCCGGATTACCGTTTGGTTACTTGTGACTTGAGGGCAACATGGGAAACTCATTCCCGTTGCCAGAGATGGTAGCTAACCAATTGAGCTTAGAATCTCAATAAGGGGTGTATACACTTAAACTTGCTAGCTCTACTTCCATTGGGATGCGGTCCTTGTCATTGCGATGACACTATAGCATGTGATCCGGGTCGTTTGCGATGACTACGTGATACATGATTGATGATTTGGAGCCCTCCACACTTATCCACTATGAATCGAGCCGTGGTGCTGACTCCATGGTATATGACTTGGTGTGATTGTGTCCTATGTGGACTTGGAACTCGTTATGGTGTGAATCTTGCCTCTCTTTGCTTAAGAACATATCTTTTATGAATCCTTCTTTGTGTGTCGTACGTTGTACCTTGTATTGAGCTTCTTGCTTGTGGTTCTATTGTCTTGTTGAGTATGATGGTCTTTGACCTTTGTTGAGAGTGGTTGATGAGTCTATTGATGTTTCCTCTCTCTCGACTTTAAAATGATATATACTGTATTCCCAGTTTCAAATGGTTTTGATTATATATATGTATATTATGATACTTAACGCGTGTTGGTGGGTTACCAACATTATTCGTTGACCGGGTGTTATCCCTTATCTTTTATAGGTTGAGTAGCTTTAGAGAGCGCGCTAGTAGCCTGTAGATAGATTAGATCTCTTCCTTTAATAGTTGTTGAGGCCTGTGAGCATAAGTAGTTGATCTGTTAGACTGCTTAGTAGTTAGTGTTTGCCTGTGTACCTAATGTTGTGTAGGTGTGGCATAATATCTCTCGGATTTGTGTTGTTAGCTTCCGCTTTGCTTATTCTTAATGATTAGACTTTACCTCTTTTATAAGTGATAATTGGTTTTAAAAGTTGTTGAAATTCGGGGGTGTTACAGTTTGTATCAGAGCCTAGGTTTGAGCCTAGATGTTAAGAGTTGGACTTTAAGCACCTAGGTTGAGCTTAGGTTACTGCTTGTAAGTTGAGACTTTAAGTTGTTTAGTGAAGCCTTTAAGTATTTAAGTACCTAAGTATAGGATTCTTAGGACCCGCGGTGAGGTTGTGAGTTATCTTTTGTTATCTGTTTAGTTCTCTTATCTTGTTCTTTTGTTAGCGTTAGTAGTTGTGGCAGTTGTTCTCGGTTGGTGTGAACCTTCCAGGCAACTTGCCTCGTTCTAGTTCTCGCTAAGGCCTCGGCTAAATCTGTGTTTGATAGAAGAAGAGCTTGGAAGTCCTTTGGTGCAAAGAAGTGAAGCGGTGGTGGATACATCTAGACAGTTGGACAATCTGAAGAAGAAGATAGTCTGCTTGACGTGAGAATGGGAATCAACCACAACAATCCCTATTCGAGTAAGTGGCGTCATTTCTTGTGCGGTGTCGTCCCTCAGTTCTACGTTAATCTCCAAAGTTGAAGTCTAGAACCTCGCGCAGCTGCAGTCCGTTAAGAAGTAAAGACGTCGAATGGAGTTTTAAGATCAAGACTTGAAGATCCTCACGCACGAGGGGAAGTCAAGAGCGGTCGCAGACGCTTTAAGGAGAAGTCATCGCACGCCAAGTGTCGAGTCTCCGTCCCCCGGTCTTCGCCGGTGAAGAAGATCCCGCGGTGCTGAAGAGTGGATCCGGATGTTTGACAAGATCTTCAAAGCAGTGGTTTGCCTGGAGGATCGCCAAGTGGAGTTGGCTACGTTCTATCTTTGGCAAGAAGCGGACATGTGGTGGATGCTTGAAAGACTAGCTTGTAGACAAGATCCGGAGTTCTGTTGGGAAAGCTTGAAGGATAAGCTACGTGAGTGCTTCTATCCTGCTCATGTCAAGGCGGAAAAGTACGATGAGTGTCTCCACCTTAAGCAAGTACCCTTGTCGGTGATGGAGTATCACAAGAAGTTTTTGGAGTTAGCCCGTTTTGCCTCAGTTTTGGTACCTACCGGGGAGAGTAAAGTTGAGAAGTTTGTGGTCGGACTCAACTTCGAGGCTAGGAAAGCCTTGACTGTGTCGAAGCCCAAGACTCTCAATGAGGCCTTCCTTTGTGCAGCTGATCTCTACCAGGTGCAGCAAGTCCAGAAAGGGATCCGGGAGAGCCGTAAGAGGAAGCTTGAAAAAAGTGTTGTACCTGTGGTTATGAGTTTGTCAGTTACCGGTGTTGAATCAACAAGAAGTCTACAAAGAGACGACTCTAAGGGTGGTAAGACTCCCCAGCCAATCCGGAACAACACGGCTAAGGGAAGGCGCTCCGTTTGCAAGAAGTGTGGAAGTAACCACCCCGGCGTGGACTTTCTTGGAAAGCCAGTGGAGTGTTTTGCTTGTGACAAGAAAGGTCACCGGTCCTTTGAGTGCATGTCTAAGAGGAAGACTTTAGCAAACCCGAAACCAGTTGGTAGTGTGAGACCCCAGTCGGGAAGTAAGCTTCGAAGCAGAATCAACGGTGGACAAAGTGGAAGAAGCAGCCAGGACTCATGTGCAAAGTTGAGACCTCGGCGAGGCAAGATCCGCAGTCGTGAGTAAGACGCAAGTTGGAACAGATGGAGTAAGTGCTTGTACCTTTTTGTTGCGCCCTTTTTTTGCCTCCGTGCCCTTCTTTGCATGCTAGATTTGGTGTTAGGTGTTAAGTGTTAAGACCTTAGCTTCGGGTCTAATTAGTTTAAGGGTCAGCTCCGACCTTGGTTTTCGTTGGAAGGGTTCAGTTGTGCTTCGTCGTGAGAGTTTCCCTCGGAAGTTGTAAAGTTGGTTGTTCTATCAGCACATGAAGGAAGTCCGATAAAGTTCTTCGTTTGAAGTCGTGCCAGGATCGAAGAAGAGATCTGCCAGTTGGTCAAAAAGGTTGTAACCAGTTCGTCCAGTAGAAGGGATCGCCTGAAGTCGGGAACCTTTAACCCTCTTTAATCCGTTTTCTCCCTCCTTTTTAGTCGAATCAACCATCCTTCTTACCGAGAAAACCTTGTTCTTCTTCCCAAACCTTGTTCGTGCCTTCTTCTTTAGTTGTTTCCGTACAAGATAACAACCTTGACTTCCTAAGTTGTAGCCTTGTTTACCTTTCTTCTCTTCTTAACCGATGTGATCTTCGAGTTTTCAAACCTTAAACTCTTCACTCTAATCTTTTCCGTTGAACTGAATCTCTTCTTGTGAGCCTTTTTCCCCCTGAGCTACCTTTCTCCTTTGTTACCATTCCTGTTTTGGACCTTTCATCCGGACCGAAAGCTTTGAAGTTTGCAAGCTTTGCCTTGAAGAGAGTGGTGGGTTGTGTGTTAAAGCAAGTGTTAAGTTGGCAACCTGCATCAAGTGAACCAAAGAGCTAGGGTGAAGGACATCCTACTCGTGTTTTGGAGCCGGCAGTAGTGACCTTTGTTTGGAAGTGACGGATCAAGTTCAAGCGGATGCCGAGATCTAGTTGTGCAGTGTGAGGACCGTGCTTCCTTTGGTTAGAGAAGTCAGCGGTGAACAGTTGAAGACGCAATCCTTGTTCTTCGTTCCTGGGTAATCTAGCTTTAGAGTCCTCTTGGTGTCAGTTTCAGTTGTAGGTTGTGCCTTAGCTAAGACGTCTAGTTCTGTGTAGACCGGTGGCTAGTAATGGGTAGAGAGTTGAGTTAAGGTATAATTAGTTTTCCCTTCTGGTAAATCTTTTATCTATCGCTTTATCTTTCATTCTTGTCACACCTTTGTGAACCTTCAGCTTATTTCTAGACCTATCAATCTTTCCACCTTAATTTGAATCCTTAGCCTATTTCTAAATCTTACAATCTTCCCACTTTGATTCGAATCTTGGGTTAATTCCCAAATCCTATCTTTCATCTTACTCTTTGTTCATGTTACACGACCTTTAATCCATATTGTTGTTCTTACTTAACCCTCGTTGCATCTAATCTTCGAGGACGAAGCTTCATTTGAGGAGGGAGGAGTGTAACACCCCAGAAATTCGTTCCCTAAAACCCGAATTAATTCCTTAATTAATTCCTTGGGACTTTACAATTCTTATCCTAATTTCCCTTTGAAATTAGTTGAAAGACCTAGTTGACCAAATTCCTTATCCTTTTAATTTGGTCAATGAGTTGTACCTTGGGCTTTAGCCATTGTACCCTAGACTTTGTCTTTCCCCTAACTTGTTTTGGGAGGAAGGGGCCCTTTTGGTCATTTCACACAATGCTAGCATTAAAACCCTACCCTAACCAAGGAATCCAAATCATTTTTCAGGATTCCCCTTCTCTCTACATCTCTTTCTTCCTCCCTACTCCTCATTCTCTCTAGGAAATCTAGAGTTGATCTTCACAAGTTCTTCAAGAAATCCCAAGCCAGGATTCCAACTTTACAACACTACAAGGCTAGGAATAGTAAGACCTATCCTTTCCTACCTTTTCCTTACAAGATTCCGCCATCTTTTCTCAAAATATTTCCTTTACTTTGTTAGGTTTGGCAGTTTGTAGAAGATCTAGAGGTGGGTGGAGTGCAAGGTTGATCTAGAGGAGCTTTGGTCTTGCTTTGAGGTTGAAGAAGGTGTTTTTTGTCTTCAAGAGGTAACCCATGCTACACAAAACCTATTTTCACTTGATAATAATGATTATTGGCTTCTATGTGATATTCTTGATGGGTTGGAGTGATTGATGTATGATCTTGTGATAATGCATGTTTAGAGCTTGTATTTAGGGTTCTTGAATGCTATTGTATGAGCTATTCATGGGTTCAAGTCATATCTTTGTTGTATGGAAGGTTTGGGGTCATTTGGACTTGAACTTGACCTTGAAAGTGCAAATTTCGCGTATGCTGATTTTTGGGCCCTGATGTACCCCGCGGGTACTACCACGGGTAGAGCCCTACCCGTGGCCCCACCCGCGGGGTTCCTGTTTGAGAAACGGTGGCGGATTATCCGGCCACCGCTTCGCCCCTCGTGTGTGATTCTTTGGCCCCCGTTTGATTGGATTGTTGAGCTTTTGTGTGTCTCCTTGATGTTACGTATGTCTAGAGCAATGTCTTAAGTATCCATGTTAGGACTTGGTGTTTTGAATCGTAATGACCTAACCTTGTGATTCATTGGATTGATGTTGAGTCTTTGTGGTTCATTGGAACTATTTTGGTTACCCGTTTGATATGCATGCTAGTCTTGGTGTCATTGATGCTAGTATGTGTTGTTTGTCCCTTTCTATTGAGGATTGACAACTAGTGTTGCCAATCATGTTGATATTGGATTGAGGTCCATTTTTATTATTGAGTATCATTTCATGTCCTTCATTGAAACCCCATGATTGAATCCCTTGATGTGATTCCGTGTGTATGATTTTTTCTTGATTAAGCTATTGTTGAGCTTATCCGTTGTTGTACACACTTTGTGTGGAATCTAGGTGTTGTTGTATCTCTAGATTTCGTGGGTATTGACTCTTGTTGGGATGATGGATTGATGTGATGAGATGATTGAGCTGGTAAAGTGGACAGTGTGGGGACTTATGTGTGAATGCATCCGGTAGTGGGTTTAAAGCTCCAGATTATCGTTTGGCTACTTGTGACTTGTGGGAAATATGGGAAACTCATTCCAGTTGCCAAAGATGATAGCTAACCCGTTGAGCTTGGAATCTCAATAGGGGGTGTATACACTTAAAGTTGCTAGCACTGCTTCTATTGGGCTGCGGACCATGTCATTGCGATGACATTATAGCATGTGATCCGGTCGTTGCGATGACTACGTGATACATGATTAATGATTTGGAGGCCTCCACACTGATCCACTATGAATCGAGCCTTGGTGCTGACTCCATGGTATATGACTTGGTGTGATTGTGTCCTATGTGGACTTGGAACTCGTTATGGTGTGAATCTTGCCTCTCTTTGCTTAAGAGCATGTCTTTTGTGAATCCTTCTTTGTGTGTCGTACGTTGTACCCTGTATTGAGCTTCTTGCTTGTGGTTCTATTGTCTTGTTGAGTATGATGGTCTTTGACCTTTGTTTTGAGTGATTGATGAGTCTATTGATGTTTCATCTCTCTCGGCTTTAAAATGATATATACTGTATTCCCAGTTTCAAATGGTTTTGATTATATCTATGTATATTATGATACTTAACGCGTGTTGGTGGATTACCAGCATTATTCGCTGACCGGGTGTTATCCCTTATCTTTTACAGGTTGAGTCACTTTAGAGAGCGCGCTAGTGGTCTGTAGATAGATTAGATCTCTTTCTTTAATAGTTGTTGAGGCCTGTGAGCACAAGTAGTTGATCGGTTAGACTGCTTAGTAGTTAGTGTTTTCCTGTGCACCTAATGTTGTGTAGGTGTGGCAGTAGTGACCTTTGTTTGGAAGTAACGGATCAAGTTCAAGCGGATGCCGAGATCTAGTTGTGCAGTGTGAGGACCCTGCTTCCTTTGGTTAGAGAAGTCAGTGGTGAACAGTTGAAGACGCAATCCTTGTTCTTCGTTCCCGGGTAATCTAGCTTTAGAGTCCTCTTGGTGTCAGTTTCAGTTGTAGGTTGTGCCTTAGCTAAGATGTCTAGTTCTGTGTAGACCGGTGGCTTGTAATGGGTAAAGAGTTGAGTTAAGGTGTAATTAGTTTTCCCTTCTGGTAAATCTTTTATCTATCGCTTTATCTTTCATTCTTGTCACACCTTTGTGAACCTTCAGCTTATTTCTAGACCTATCAATCTTTCCACCATAATTTGAATCCTTAGCCTATTTCTAAATCTTACCAATCTTCCTACTTTGATTCTAATCTTGGGTTAATTCCCAAATCCTATCTTTCATCTTACTCTTCGTTTATGTTACACGACCTTTAATCCATATTGTTGTTCTTACTTAACCCTCGTTGCATCTATGCTTCGAGGACGAAACTTCATTTGAGGAGGGAGGAGTGTAGCACCCCAGAAATTCGTTCCCTAAAACCCGAATTAATTCCTTAATTAATTCCTTGGGACTTTACAATTCTTATCCTAATTTCCCTTTGAAATTAGTTGAAAGACCTAGTTGACCAAATTCCTTATCCTTTTAATTTGGTCAATGAGTTGTACCTTGGGCTTTAGCCATTGTACCCTAGACTTTGTCTTTCTCCTAACTTGTTTTGGGAGGAAGGGGCCCTTTTGGTCATTTCACACAATGCTAGCATTAAAACCCTACCCTAACCAAGGAATCCAAATCATTTTTCAGGATTCCCCTTCTCTCTACATCTCTTTCTTGCTCCCTACTCCTCCTTCTCTCTAGGAAATCTAGAGTTGATCTTCACAAGTTCTTCAAGAAATCCCAAGCCAGGATTCCAACTTTCAAACACTACAAGGCTAGGAATAGTAAAACCTATCCTTCCCTACCTTTTCCTTACAAGATTCCTCCATCTTTTCTCAAAATATTTCCTTTACTTTGTTAGGTTTTGCAGTTTGTAGAAGATCTAGAGGTGGGTGGAGTGCTAGGTTGATCTAGAGGATCTTTGGTCTTGCTTTGAGGTTGAAGAAGGTGTTCTTTGTCTTCAAGAGGTAACCCATGCTACACAAAACCTATTTTCACTTGATAATAATGATTATTGGCTTCTATGTGATATTCTTGATGGGTTGGAGTGATTGATGCATGATCTTGTGATAATGCATATTTAGAGCTTGTATTTAGCGTTCTTGAATGCTATTGTATGAGTTATTCATGGGTTCAAGTCATATCTTTGTTGTATGGAAGGTTTGGGGTCATTTGGACTTGAACTTGACCTTGAAAGTGCAAATTTCGCGAATGCTAATTTTTGGGCCCTGATGTACCCCGCGGGTAGAGCCCTACCCGTGGCCCCACCCGCGGGGTACCTGTTTGAGAAATGGTGGCGGATTATCCGGCCACCGCTTCGCCCACTCGTGTGTGATTCTTTGGCCCCCGTTTGATTGGATTGTTGAGCTTTTGTGTGTCTCCTTGATGTTACGTATTTCTAGAGCAATGTCTTAAGTATCCATGTTAGGACTTGGTGTCTTGAATCGTAATGATCCAACCTTGTGATTCGTTGGATTGATGTTGAGTCTTTGTGGTTCATTGGAACTATTTTGATTACCCGTTTGATATGCATGCTAGTCTTGGTGTCACTGATGCTAGTATGTGTTGTTTGTCCCTTTCTATTGAGGATTGACAACTCGTGTTGCCAATCATGTTGATATTGGATTGAGGTCCATTTTTATTGTTGAGTATCATTTCATGTCCTTCATTGAAACCCCTTGATTGAATCCCTTGATGTAATTCCGTGTGTATGATTTTTTCTTGATTAAGCTATTGTTGAGCTTATCTGTTGTTGTACACACTTTGTGTGGAATCTAGGTGTTGTTGTATCTCTATATTCCGTGGGTATTGACTCTTGTTGGGATGATGGATTGATGTGATGAGATGATTGAGCTGGTAAAGTGGACAGTGTGGGGACTTATGTGTGAATGCATCCGGTAGTGGGTTTAAAGCTTCGGATTATCGTTTGGCTACTTGTGACTTGTGGGAAACATGGGAAACTCATTCTAGTTGCCAAAGATGATAGCTAACCCGTTGAGCTTGGAATCTCAACAGGAGGTGTATACACTTAAAGTTGCTAGCACTGCTTCCATTGGGTTGCGGACCTTGTCATTGCGATGACATTATAGCATGTGATCCGGGTCGTTACGATGACTACGTGATACATGATTAATGATTTGGAGCCCTCCACACTTATCCACTATGAATCGAGCCTTGGTGCCGACTCCACGGTATATGACTTGGTGTGACTGTGTCTTATGTGGACTTGGAACTCGTTATGGTGTGAATCTTGCCTCTCTTTACTTAAGAGCATGTCTTTTGTGAATCCTTCTTTGTGTGTCGTACGTTGTACCTTGTATTGAGCTTCTTGCTTGTGGTTCTATTGTCTTGTTGAGTATGATGGTCTTTAACCTTTGTTGTGAGTGATTGATGAGTCTATTGATGTTTCCTCTCTCTCGGCTTTAAAATGATATATACTGTATTCCCAGTTTCAAATGGTTTTGATTATATCTATATATATTATGATACTTAACGCGTGTTGGTGGATTACCAGCATTATTCGCTGACCGGGTGTTATCCCTTATCTTTTACAGGTTGAGTCGCTTTGGAGAGCGCGCTAGTGGCCTGTAGATAGATTATATCTCTTTCTTTAATAGTTGTTGAGGCCTGTGAGCACAAGTAGTTGATCTGTTAGACTGCTTAGTAGTTAGTGTTTACCTGTGCACCTAATGTTGTGTAGGTGTGGCATAACATCTCCCGGATTTGTGTAGTTAGCTCCCGCTTTGCTTATTCTTAATGATTAGACTTTACCTCTTTCATAAGCGTTAATTGGTTTTAAAAGTTGTTGAAATTCGGGGGTGTTACAATTATGGCCATCTTTCTTACAGTTGGGGCAGTGGATGTGAGCATGACTACGTTTGAGGTGCATTCCATCTTTCCTTAGCTCATCACATTCTCTTATTCTCTATTTTTCGGTCTTTTGGCCTTAGCAGTGTATAGAGGTGGCTTAGGTGGTTCTCTATCATAAACAGGCCACTCTGATTGACCTGCCATTGGCCTGATACTCCCTCCATATGATTTCAGATAATTCTCAACAAAGTATGCTTGATGAACATAATTATTGACAGGGCCATGACCATTTTTCATCCAAATTGCACATTTGGCATGCCTACACGGAATGCCACTCAAATCCCAACTTCTTCATGTGCAAGTAAACCTACCCAAATCAACTTCATGTTGCTCCAAAACCTGCCCAAGTGCCCCCCTCAAAGCTTATTTCCTACACTCAAACAACCTAGACATTATCAATTTTCTCAAAGTCTCAAGACAAGTAATTAGTGGCTGCTGTCTAGCATCTAAAATTACAGCATTATATGACTCACAAATGTTGTTAACTAAAATATCACAATGAACAAAAGTGGTGAAATGAGACCTAGATCACTCTGATGGTTGTTTGTCACAAAGCCACTCATATGCCTTAGCATCAATATCATGCAGTTTTTTCATGGCAGCAGTGAAAGTGTTGACACTGGTAGACCTTGCAGCATCCCATAAAGCATCCTTGATAGCTTTTCCAGTAAATCCAGCTTGCTTCATATTTCCATGTAAATGTCTTACACAGAATCTATGAGTAGCTCCAGGAATAACATCCTCAAATGCAGGGATTAAGCCCTTTTGCTTATCTGAAAGTCAAACATTACAGTGATGATTACAAAAAGAGTTAACATATAGTGTAGCAAATACTTTGAAAAAAAAATAGAATATACCTTAGATAAATGTGAGATGCAACTCACCAGCTGGAGTGATACAGAGATCCCTTTTTAAAAAGTTTAAAAACCTGCTCCAAGAATCCTTTGTCTCACCTTCAACTATAGCATAAGCTAGAAGGAACACTGAGTCATAACCATCAACCCCAATTGCTAACAACAACTGACTCCCATATATTCCCTTCAAGTGGCAGCCATCCATTCCAATGATAGGCCTACAAAATTTAAATCCTTGTTTGCATGCTTTCAACACATATAAAATCTCACAAATCTTTGCCTTCCTTCATATAACAAATCACTTAAATTTACATGACATCTACTCCCTAGATTAGTCCTTTGAATCTCTAAGAAATAACTCCATAATTTATTAAAGTTTTCATGCTCCTCCCCATCAATGACAGCCCTTGCTTTCTTAATTTCCCTATATGCTTGCCTCATAGAAAGAGAAAACCTTCCTTGGTAGACACTTTCTCTAGAAACTCCCTGGTTTTCCATCCACTATGTCCTGCAATTTCATTCTTCCATCTTTTAGCAATTCTACTTGAGTTAACCATGTAATTGTTGCGAGCCCAACAACACCCATCATGGTGATCATTTATAGCAGTGATCCTCCAAGATAAAGCTTCTTGTTCTTTCCTAAGGGTAACTTTCCAAGGACAGTCATTATGCTTACACAAACAACAACGCATCTAACTTTGTCATTTTTTTACAAACAGTAATTCCTTTCTATTGCCAAATCCATAGCTTGTCTAAACTCTTCTTTTGAACCAAATGTCAAACCAACAAGACAAAATTTTTGTGATTTCATATCTGTTTTAGCCCTAAACTCTGGCAACTTTAGCTCATTACCCTCATCATCACTTTCTACTGCACTTCCCTCATCAGAGAAGTTAATTTCCACATTCACATTCTGCTTCGCTTTAACACATTTGGCTTGCCGATCACTTTCTTCTATGCCAGCAAACTCTACTCCTAGATCTACATTCCTCTCAAATTCAATATCATCTAGCACTGCATCATTACTATCAGTGGAATATACCTCATCGGAATCCTCATCAGATGCCTATTCACACCCATTATCTTCTTTTGACTCCTCATTCTGCCAATCACCAAGAACAACCCAAACCTCTATTGCATTATACATCTCAATCTCATTCACTAAACTGAATGTTTCCACATCTGATTGTAATTCTATCAATCCATCTGACCCATTAAATAATAGCTTCACACCATCTAAATTCTCATATCCCAATTCTATTACTTTCTCCTTTAATTTGAAGAACCCCCACTCATTAACATCCATATTATTCACACAAGTTGTCTCCCCTCCAACATATGTAGTCTGCCCACTTTTCTTGACCTTTCCACCATGTCTTAGACTAAGGGTGAACCCTTGTGAAGTGTTTACCCTAGCTGTTATATATAATACGAATAACCAGTCAACCAGTGAATTTATTAAATGGTCTCCAACTGTAAAATCTATGCATTTATTAATAAAAAATAAAATAATTCTAGCAAAACAATTTAAAGCATTACTTTACTATTTACTACTGCTACTTAGTACTACTTTTAATAAAGAATGCATAGATTTGGCAAGCCAACAGGAAATGGTCCCCAGGTCCAACATACCCATAAAAAAGTATATAGAAGTTAGTCAATAGAAAATTGCCCCCAGTAGCATAGCAAACAGAAATCGACCATATATACACCCCCGCACATCAGTGTAACCCCATATATACATACACATACAACCTCTAACACCAAACTCCATATACACATATTAAACATCAATTGTGTTCCCTTGAACATAGAATCAATTATGTTCCCTTAACCCATTTTCTGTGCGTAAAATAAACTGACAAAAAAATGGTATATTGTACTTACCATTACAATTGTGTCATGACCATGAATCTAGGAGAAGAAAGATTGAATGAAGGGATGGAGGCTGAATTGGAGAAGAAGGAATTATTCTTAGAAGCTAAGTGAGGGAAGGCAGAAATGAGAAGTCGAGGGACCGGCACTACGTTGTTTTGAGAAAACGAATTAATCGCAATCACTTATTTAAACGACATCGTAAGAAGGTAGCCGTTGGAGTAGTTTGAATAAACAAACGGAACGACGTCGTTCCGTAATCTGGCCGATGGAAGCAGTTGCAACGAAGACTCAGACGACGTCGTTTGGATGCAGACAATTGGGAGCTTGCAGAAGCTGGAATTGCGGGAGTTGGTTAAAGGTTCTTTGGACGTATTACCTTAGATATTTATATTATGTTGTTTTTGGTGTTGGTTTTTCTAAGCTATGTTTTTGGATAATTTTATTCTGAAAGCAAAAACCCTAAATCCTTTCTTCCTCTCGACCCTAGATTTCTTCTCTTCTTCTCTATCTCTTTCTGTTGTTCTTGTTGCATATTACCAGGTGCGTTACATTTGGTATCAGAGCCCATAATGGGGACCCAGCCTACATTATCAATGGAGGATAGAATGAACCGGTTGGAGGCTCAGATGATGGAGCACAGCAGTAGGCTGATAGCTAGTCAGCAAAAGATGAAGGATTCCATTCAGGATATCAAGGGTCATATGGGGGCATGGAAAGCTGAGATTTTACAGTTGCAAAGGTTAAATGGATATCCCCTTCCTGCCTTGGATCCTTCTTCAGCCGGCAGAAGCAACAGATCTGCTCCGTCGATTCTAGAAGAGGGATTTGGGAACCTCGCCGGAGATTCAGAAGAGGCGAAGATGAACCCAGGAGTTGGGATGTGGCCGGATCTGATTAAGGAAGCCGCCGGAGATTTAGAAGCGACGATCCTCGCCGGAGAATTCGAATTGCCAAATACAAATCCAGAGATTGAGGATCAGCTGCCTCCACAACCTCCACAACCGCTGCAATTTGAAGCCTGCAGAAACGACAGCACATCTTCCCCGATTCTGGCTGAAGAATTTGGGAACTCAGACCGAGAGGTTGATGTAATTGAAAATGCTACTCCTTGCGTGGTTGATAATGGCATGCTTGATGATAGATCACCACCTCTTGATGATTTGGAGGAACTTGGTGATAATAAGGAAGAAATTGATATTGAAGCTACTGCTAAGAATGAAGAATTAAATAATTCTGATGTGCAAATGGAGAAGTCAGTAGTGGTGTTTGATCAAATGTTTGTTGGAATAATGAAAAACTCACATATCTCAACTGTGTCTGGTATATTGTTTTCAACTGTGTCTGATAAATTGTCCTTGAAATGAAAAGAATGGTTTACATTGATTACAATGATCGGAAATCCTTCTCAACACATCAGTAGCTTGTAGTTTGAGTGTAGTGCTCACAATGACCATCTGATTTCCATTGTTATGATTGAGGTAACTGATTATGTTGATTCTTATTTAGTTCCTAATGACACACATAAGAGTAATTTACCCTCTCTTGGAGACATTAATGTTAGAATTACTGCAAAAAATGTGGGTATGCATGTGGTGATGAACTATGATGAAAGTGTTGGGGTGGAATATGTGATTTTAGGTGGGAAATTTTCCGGACTGAATGTTGAATATGCATATACTGTTGGAATAGTTTTAACTACTTTGATAGGAGCGGTGAGAGTCGCAATGGAACCGTATTATTTCAATGTCAATCCTAAAATGCCATGGTGGAGTGAATTTCCTTTTGATCCAGGAGGAATGCTAAAATTATAAGTTTCTTGTTGCGGCAAGTTTCACTATTATTGCTTGTGTTGCTGTAATGTAATTGTTTGGCTTAGTATGATGGAGATGAAAGAGGGGATAAAAAGCTCAATGAGTTGGGAATTATTATTATGGGCAAGGCCACCCAATGAAGCCACACAGAATTCGGATGACACATGCTCTTCTTCCACATTATGGACTTCTACAGCATATCAAAGTCCTCAAGCCTAATCTTGCAAGAGATAAGGACCTTTGCAGGTTTCATGCTGATGGCTATGTTACTTTCTTGAGAAGCATTACTCCAGAAACACAACAAGATAATCTGAGGCAGTTGAAGCAATTTAATGTTGGTGAGGACTGCCCTGTTTTTTATGGTCTCTACTCTGCTGTCAAACTTATGCAGGAGGTTCTATAGGTGGGGCTGTGAAGTTAAACCATGGACATTGTGATATTGCTATAAACTGGGCTGGTGGATTGCATCATGCCAAGAAATGCGAAGCTTCTGGATTTTGCTATGGGAGAGACATAGTGCTTGCCATATTTGAGCTCCTCAAAGTGCATGAGCAGGTTCTCTATGTAGACATTGACATACATCATGGTGATGGTGTTGAAGGGGCCTTCTATACCACAGAGAGGGTCATGACATATCCCTAATAATATTTTGGTGACCTGATAGCAGGCTGATCTGAGATGATTTATCCTTGGAGGCATAAGGATGGTTCACCTAACTTGGTGGACCTCTAATCTATTGAAATCTGAGCAGAAGTGAATGGAAAAGAATTGAAACGGAATGTGATCTGCATCTGGGGAGTCTGATCTACAGAGCTACAGAATGAGAAGCCCTGTGAATGAAGCCCTGAGTTGTAGCAACAAAATGAAACTTTTAAAGTAGAGTTTTGATGTTGCCATAGAGTGGATCCTTCCATGGGAGATGACACTCTATGTAGTTTGTAATAAGAAAGAAGAATTGCAGATCTTGAGCAGGTTATACAGACCAGAGGTTGCAGCTAAAACTTTCTGAGGCTTGATTGAGTGGAACTTTAATTGAAGGTCTTTTAATGGAATTAATATAATCTAAAAGGGGTAAATGCTGTGAATGCTACACAGATCTTGGTAGATGCAGCAACACTCTCAGAGTTGCAGATCTGCAATTCTGGAATTGCTGATGAGCTGAGATTTGCAGCTGAATGCAGATTGAGTTGCAGATGGTGTTTGTTTGCTGTGTAGAAGCTGGGCTGGGCAGCAAATAAGAGGGATACACTCATGGTGGCTGAGATATGATTATGGATGGTCTTGATGAGGTGGAGAAGTGCTGCAGTTCAAGGCCTCATGAGGTGGAGAAGTGCTGCTGGCTTGGGGCTGATCTTGCATGAGAAATGATGCCTCAAGTTGAGCTCTGATGTTGGAATAATAATGCAAGAATTCCCCAAAGTCTAAGTTGGTGCTGCTGTGAAGATTTGGGGTTTATTCAAGTTAGCCGAATGTGTGATGGATCTGTTGAAATGGTAATTAAGTCCCAAAGCTGGGTTGAGTGGTCCCTTCCTCAATCCCACAGTTCCATCAAGCATTTGAGTGCTCTTATCCCTAATAACAGGGAATGTGAAGCTGTTACCAATACTAGATACCGTGAATTCAAGAATGGGATCAATTGCATTAGTTCACATAGAAGACATATGCTCTGCCCACATATTCCTCATGGAGAATGCTAGAGCAGAATGACAATATATATGTTGCACTCATAATTGTTCAATATCTGAAGTGATTGCTCAACTAAGCCAAGAATATCCGGTTCCCACTACTGTAACACCCCAGATTTTCAAGATTTTTAAAACTTATATAATAAAGATAGAATCTCATTAAATCCCAAAATACGATACAAAGAGTACGGGGTGCTATGCCACATCCGAGCTAGAGAACTCGGATGCACAGGCTAAATTCTAAAACCTCAATCAGTATCAATACTAAATCATGGCACGCAGGCCGAAAGGGAAAACTATCTAAGCTATGCCCCAAGCTTCTAGTGCGCTCCAGTGATCTACTCGTCTGTGCCTGAAAGCCAAATATATCTGTTCAGCGAGAGATGCTGGTAACCCACTCCAACCCGTTGAAATACAATACATATAGATATATATATATAGATATACGAAAACCATTTTGAACATGAAGATATATCCTACTGTAACACCCCGTGTTACGACCCCTAAAACCATTTAATTAATTAATCAATAGCCCAAGAGAAAGAATATATTATAATGATTAATTAGGGAAAAAGGCCCACCATAGTCCATGGGCCCTCATATATAAACCCAACCCCTAAACCCAATCCTTAGTTCCAAAAGGAATAGAATTAGCAAGCCTATAATATTAAGTTCCTAATTAGGACTCCTAAATATATAAATAGGGGACTTAGGAGGCACCTAGAACTTCCCACAAGATTAACGCCCCACCACCCCAAAAGAGCTCCAAGAATCCCCTTAGGAGAAATCAAGACAGCAAGGAAGCTTAAAGAAAGATCCTTCATAGCCAAGGAATTAATTAAGGCTAAGAGGTAACCCATGTCTCAACAAAACCTATTTTCATAGTTATAATTCCCCCTTAGGGTTTCCCCATATTATTGTGTATTGGCAAGTTATGATGATT